CCCTGCTGTGGCTATAAAACCCGAACACAGACCATTCTGCAGCTTTCAAGGTATGGAGCATGTTGGTTGGGGTTTTTTTGTGCTAGAACTGCAGAGGAGGTTTCTTCATGCCCAGCAATTTCATCAGATTTGTGAAGGAGAGAAACCCACAGTCATCTCCATCCCAGTGGTTCATTGGAAAAACATATCTTGTATTAAATACTTTAAAGATTCATGAAGCAGCTTTAATTTTGTTTGCATTTCTTCCTGAAGGGTAAAGCTGTCAGAAATCTCTAAATGCATTGCCTAATCCATTTCCAAACTCAGTATATTAAGGTCTGCAAGCAAAACTCATTTTTGGAGTTTGCAAGTATGCAGACAGGAAAGAAGGCAGGAGAAAGAGAGCAGGAAAGATTTTTCTTTCCTTGGTAAAGCACTGAACAACGCTCATGGCTGTAGTGTCAGTCCTTCACCAAAAATTGTGCAACTCAAATGGACCATAAGACCACCTCTGATAAATAGAGGATTTCACATGTTTCTGTTGGATCAGATACAAACAGAGTAAATGCAGCTATCAAGGAATGAAGGTTCAGACAAAAAAGAATTTCCTTCGCTTTAATGCCTCCAAGCTCAGAGGGCTGCCGTGAGCAGGCTCATGTGTAGCTGGGAACCTTTTGTTTTTTCATTGTCCCAGTTTCTAATCTATGACCTTTTTTGTGCTAGTACATGATTTTTTTCCCAAGGTTCTGGTCTGCCAACCGGAGAGCCTCTCCTGTTTTCTTCTGCCTGCGCAGGCAGTGCTCACAGCTGGGCTCAGGGGGCTGGCTGGGAAATGTTCATTTAAGGAAGCGGTTCGATGCAAGGGAAAGAATGAGTGAAAATCATCTCTGGAATAGAGGAAAATGATCTGACATCAAGTTCTCTGTCACGTACAAGTGAAATACCTCTGGGTTGCCAGCCAAGCTCTGCAGTAGCAAATACAGAGCAAGAAAACGCCAAGACTCTTCCCAAGACAATGGCAGGACGCCTCAGGTTTAATGCTTGGCATGTTGTATGAAAGGGGCCTGAAGGGCTGTTTCACGTATCAGATCTAATCCATCCTCAGCCGGTCCATGGAAATGATTAGCCATGGCATCGTCAGCCTTTGCTTGGAATCTCTAGTCCTAAATGCATCCAGCGGTGTGTTTCGCTACAGCATACCTGTCTGCTTCCCACGTGGACCTGAAGCCTTTTGCTGGTTGGGCACTGTTAGACCTGATGACAGTTCATAATACAAATTTAGACTCACAGTAATATTAAGTGTGAGCTATGCCTGGACAGCTTAGACCATTGTTAGCTACCACAGAGGTCAAATGTATGCTCTAAATTCTTCCCCAACCCAGTAGTGTTAGACAGATATTAATGAGGCCAAGTTTTGGCTATCAGTTACTGTAATTCTCCTCCCTCGCCTGGTTGCGGCAGTTCACAAAGGGATGAGACCTAGTGCGGAGATGAGGGGAGCGTGGTGGTAGCCGGGTCCCTCCCCTGGCGAAGCACTGGGGGTAGCGCTGGTGCTGGGGGCTCCCCCGGCAGGGCAGCCAGGCCCGAGCAGGGCGGCCGGACACGGCCGGGCACTTCACGGCACGGCGTCAGGGCTGCCAGGAACAGGTGATCTCTTAATTTCCAACCAAAGTCCCTTTGGTGGTAAGGTTGAAGCATATAAGGGTGTGCCTTGCTAGGACACCTTCATACGGTTTGATGTCTTCACCTTCTGTTACTTTTCCCCTCAAAAGAAATAATAAAAGAGACTAGTCTTGTGTTAAGCTACTCTGTCGTTACCTCCTAGGTTTTTTGCCTGATGCTTTCCCTCTGTCTCCCGTCAATAGGCTTGTTGTAGCCTTACTTTTTTTCCTGGGACTTCTCTGGAATGAACTCTCTCCTGCTGCCATGCTCCAGGGCCAAAATCAAGGGCTGCACCAAGGAGGACTTCACGTGTTCCCCTGACCCTCTGACTTTCTCCAACCTTGCCTTCAGGCACAAGTGAATGAGCGTTCCATTGCAATGCGCTCATCTGCTGTCAGCATCCAGCCAAGAACAGAGCTACAAAGGCGTTGTAAGGTGGCAGTGGGCACGATTCTGCTTTGATGGTAGCGTGTGTGACTTGCTAATGTCCCTCTTTGGCTCAGAGTGTCAATTGCTGGTTAGAGTTTCTTGGAATGAAGGAAGTATTAACTGTAAATTGCTGTGGCTGGTATCTAATTACAGAATACATTGGGAAGCACTTGGGCGACAATCCAACAAACCACTTAAGCACCCACTGATTTTTAAGGAAAGGCCCCTTGACTGGTATTGCTTGTGCTCTCAGACATCATCAGAAGTGTTTGTTAGTGGACCAGTACTTTCTCCTGACTACCTCAGCACATCCATCTCATTTTCTGAAGTGACTTAAGGAGTTGGGAGTTCAAGGTTGACTGGAAGTCTGCAGGAAATAAACTCCTAAATCACTGCTGTACTTTGAAAAGTACTCAGCTGGACAGCTTCTTTTGCTGTTCCTCATCCTTGCTGTAATAAATAAAATTATGACAGATTTTAAACCACTGCTAAATTCTGATGTTTGCCTGTGCCCGTCCAGATGTTCCAGTTAGTGGGGTTACCAAAGATATTCTCATATGTAATGGCTGGAGTGCTCTTTCCACATGCAGACATAATGCAGTTTTTCAACTACATCTTGCTAACAGAAAGGGGAGAACTGACAGAAGGAAGGTTGCAGTGAGAAGTGATAGGAATGACTTAGCCCAGGTGGGATAACAAATTCAAAGCAGCCTTTTATCAAAAGCAGCCCATGATGCCCCACAATGTAAGCAGTCATAGAGAACCAAGGCATGAACAGTCTTGTGAACCAGTGAGATTGTGGAGTCACGCTTAGGATAATAATGCATTGATTTAATACGACAAAGAACAAATAAATCAAAAGTGGAGGTTATGGTTTAGGTGTGCTGGTTTTGATTTTCTCAGAACATAAGTGGGACATCTCAGAACATAAGTGGGACGATGGAGGAAAAGCGCTGAGGATTAGTCCTACTCAGCCTTTCCGTCTGGACATGTGGCCACGTGCTGAGGTGTTTCAATCCACTTACCAAGAAACCAGATACTTTTTACTCCAGAAAAGTACAGCAAAATCTCTCAATCAGAAGATAAAGCCACATAGTCCACTGCGGTCTTGTACTATTTCAGCCATTCCCTGTCTTTTCCTGGGCAAAATACTTTGGTCCTTCCACACATGCCTCTGCTTCTGACATCTGTGTTCATCCTACCTTTCCTTTGATTGCTTGTTGCTCTACGTGGCAAGTGCTGCTTTGACTGCCCTCTCATTCTCGCTGTACTTCCTCCTCCTCCTCCTCATCTGCCACAGCCTCCTTGCTGTCTCCAGACTTCAGCTACGTGGTGTCTTTGCTTCCCTTCTTTCCTGCTAGCTCTGGGTGCTGATGCAGGACCCCACCAGGATGCGTGGCCTGGGGTGGGCTCCCTCCTCTGCCTGACTCCCACCAGCAACACTCCCACTCCCTGGGTACCAGTCCCGTTTGCTATGTCTTGCTGATACAAGTGAAGCTCTGAAGCAAATTGCTTCAGATCAAAGATGTCCCTCAGCAAGGGAAACCTTGCAAGGTCCATGTATTTAGCTGATGGCTTTTTCTAGTTAGTGAAGTATTCCTGAAGGACTTCTTTGATATGTTGGTGTGGTCAAAAGGAAAATCACATTCAAAAAGAAATTCAAAAAGGCGGCTGTGTCAGAGCATTCACACCTCCTCTAAATCTCTGTCCTTCTTCCGAGTTTATTTTTAGACTGTACAAGAATGCTGCTTATCCAGAAGTTTTACACTGTGGTCCTCTCTATGGTTCAGGCCACCAGCAGGCTGCCAGTAATAGCTATGGTAACACTGTAATCAATGACAAGTACTCAGGTCTCTGAGCAAATAGTGCTGGGATGAGTAGGAATTATGAATAATTGCACTTTACTAGAATTCATAACTGATCTCCAGAGGTTACCCAACAGTCAAGCATTTGTCACCCTCCCCATCCCCATACCTGCTGATAGTGGGGAAAAGAAGTGATTGTTATGCCAAAGTAATGAGCAGAGAGGTCAGAAAGTTTGATAAGAGCAGGAAAAGTCATTTCCTGTGATATCATTAGCAGTATTTTAGAGAGCAGGTTCAGTAATTGCTATGGTAATTCTGAATGGCATTTGACTGTGAGAACACGTAGGTGATTTTTTAAAGTTAGCATCTTTGCTGGTGGGAGAGAATTCCACTAAAGTAAGGCGGTGTGGTGTTAGAGAGGGGCATGGGCTGGGAGCTTGGGAAGCAGAAGGTCTGCTCTCTCCAGGCCTCGGTTTTTCTTCTCAAAACGGTCTATGGTAACATATATGCATCAGTGAGCAAGCGCAAAAGGAAATGGTGAACCTCGGGATGTAGCTGCCTGGCAAGGTGACATCTCAGATGGAACAGATCTGTTTTGCAAATATTTCAGCGAGTGCATGCCTGTACAACAAACGTCGTGCATTTGGTATTGCTGCACAAACTGCGAAATCGGGAAGGCTGGCAAGTGCTCTTTGTGTGGGCAAATGCAAAATTTGCCGGAGTGGGTCCTGGTTTTAAAAGTATGAGGTCTAATTATGGGTTAACAGGAGACCTTCTGATGGTTCCGCTAGGAGCACAGACAGGCTATAGTCTTGTGGCCTTCTCCGGGTTGTTTTTGAGCAAAGTCACTGATGTTGCTTTGGTTTTCAAGAGATGCTTTTAACCTTCCAGAGACTGAGAGCTGCTACAAGTCTGTGTGCATGCAGATACGCTGTGGTGTTCACCCGGTTGATGGAAAGTTTGCTGCTCTCAGCTGTGTTGCTTCTTTTGAGCTTTTACCATGTCCTTGGGGTTAGAAAGAGCAAAGCCTGCAAGTGCTGGAGGGCAGTGAGGAGAGGACACTATTCGGTGTATTTTACCTCCCAGTGGCTGCTTGGGTTTTAATTCTTGCTTTCTTCTCTCCAGGTGCAAACAGATGACCTACCTAGATGACCTGCCCCAGATCTCTGTGGTCTTCATATTTGTAAATGAGGCACTCTCGGTCATCCTGCGCTCTGTGCACAGCGTGGTGAATCACACCCCATCGCACTTGCTCAAGGAGATCATTCTGGTGGATGACAACAGTGACAATGGTGAACATACATAACTTTTCCTCCAAGTACTGTATCCTGTGTGGTTGAGGGACATGAAATGTAAATCAAAGGGAGTTTGATCACTACTAGCTAAAACCCTTTTTTTTTTTTTTTTTTTTTTCAATGCTGGGATGAGACAGCATTGAGTCATTCTGCATTTAAATAGCCGGGGAAGGAAGGTCATCCATGCAACCAGTGATTTATGGCTAATAAGCTAGATCATAAGTTGGTGTAAATTAATGTACTTCTGTTGAAGTCAGTGGAATTTACAAGCGTTTGTGTTTGTTGATGAGAAGGTTGATTGAGCCACTTGCACAAAGCTGGGAGTAAAAATTAACTATTTGTGTAATAAAGAAACAGTATGTGGATAAACGCTGCTGATTTCATTGAAACCCTCACAGGATGAATGACATTGGTACAGGCAATCTCAATATAGAAATGACACTTTTCTCGCATTTTCAGATCCAGAGGAATATCATCATTAATAGACTAAAAGTTTCAATTCTGCTTCCAAGGAAAAGTGGGGCTACAAATTTACCTTAAAGATAGTTTCTACTCTTTTACGTGGCAGCACACTCTGCTTTTTCATGGTTTAAACAGCTGCTGATAATATCAGATTTTGAATCTGATTCTTTTTCTTTGAGGCAGGGAGTGAATTAGACTATGAGAATGAAAGAGAATGGGCACAAAACAGGCAACTTTCAGGTCATCTGGTTCTTTAATGTAAAAATAACACTTCTGTTGCAGCGATCAAAACTCAAAATATTGGTGAGCATGTAGGGTGCTGTTGATCAACATGTTTCACTGGACGGTTGGGTTTGAAGACCATTTAGGATACAGGTGACTAGCAGTGTTGTGGTGTTTTAAGCTGTTATACCTTAGACTTCTAGAGCTGTTCCATCTTCTCAAATCATATTTGTTAAAATAAGGCTCAAGTTTAGCATTTCCTCCACAGATCAACAGCTTTAAATCATTCCGGTTTAAGTTGCTGTTCCTCTTCAAGGTCCTCAAAGAGAAAGGAGGGTTGAGAGAACAAATCACTGAACCAAAAATAAGTTCCAAACCCTATAGATTTAAGAAACCTTTTGTCCAATTCTACTTTCAATTACAGCAGTGTAACCTATGGAGTAATTATGTGAGATTGCAAAGTGTTTGAGTCAATGTAATACAGAGGAGAATTGGACTCAGTGTTTCTCAGTGAACTCTTATATGGCTTTTCTCTGTCATTCTTCTAGATAACTGGAGATTTATCAGGTCTTTGATCCCGATGATAATGATTCTACTGTGTAATATAGATCAGAAGAATGAGGCTTCTAATGTCCTAGAAGCTTCTACTAGTTTTTCTAATAAATATATTTGAGTAGAAGCCTCATTATGAATAAGTTGCAGTGTAAATGAATTACCAAACTAGATTGATTTTAAAAAATAGAGAGACCATTTTGGTAATTTGCCTGTTTATAAGCCTGTTGAAATGAAGCTGAAAAAGGAGTGAATGAGTTCTGCTCTGTCTGTGGTTGAATGCCTGAAACCGAACAAAAGAGAAGCAGTCTATTTGAAATCTTCAATATCCATTTAGTTCAATGGGGAAGAAGCCTGGTATTGAGGAGTCTTAATTATATTTAAAGGAAAACCCTTAAAATTAAAGGAAATTAATTGTGATCTGAATTAGGTCTTGACCCAAAATCCATTGAGGTTATTTTTCAAACTCTTACTGAAAAGCATAAATCAGAAAAAAAATCACCAGACTCCCGTGTTATGCTGCTGTAAGGTCAGAATTGCTCCTCCAGAGGCCAGTTGTAACCCAATGAAAATCATCAGAGAATTAGAACAGGAATTATTTTAAAATATTTAGACAAACTACCTCTTCATAACAATGCTCGAATCCATCAGGCCATATTAAACGTGTGCAAATCTCTGTTGTGTGGAGAATTTCTCTGAGCTGATGCCCCTGGAACTGGTCCATGCCACAACTGTGGTACTTTGTATCTGTGAGACTGACTAAGAGTTTAGGAATATTTAAGGGTTTCTTTCCCTTCTTATTGAAGAATAAATCAAAGTAAAACATAATGTTGCAAGGCTTCTCTCACTCTGAACATTTGTGTGGGTTTTTTCTCCTGCAGTTGAGCTAAAATTTAATCTGGACCAGTACGTCAATAAAAGATACCCAGGTCTGGTGAAAATAGTGCGCAATAACAAACGAGAAGGACTGATTCGAGCCAGAATCCAAGGCTGGAAAGCGGCAACCTCTCCTGTCGTCGGGTTCTTTGATGCTCACGTGGAGTTCAACATTGGCTGGTAAGTTGTTGGCTGTTCCCAGAGGGAGAGCCGTACCGTTACACCCTGCCCTATGTCTCAAAGGCTGCGAATGAGATTTGCTCAGCAACGGGGAAGCTGAAAACCTGTAGGGATGAGATGACTGTAGGGTGGTGTTATCACATTAGCAGTTACTTTTGAATAATATTCTTGATTATTGCAACATTACCGATAATCTTCTGCAACGGCTGCAAGATCCATAAAAAAGCTGTTGTGCCTGCTCTAGTAGATCTCAGTGGAGAGAGAAGTAATTTAAACCACAATGAATACGAAACCTCCAAAGCAGTCAAATGGGGAGACACCATTAAGGGAGCTTTGGGCTGGAGGCAGATGCATGCTTTCAAGTACTCCTTTTAATCTCCTTGTCATTTTCTATCATTTCTTCTTAGAGACTTGAATACCAATCTGATTTCCTCGTAAATTTTCTTGCATTTACATTTGAGGGAAACATTGAATTATTTCCTGAATTTTTAATGGGGCTTGAAATTAGCACGCCTTTCTTCGTCCCCTTTGTTTTGCAAGGGAGCAGTATTGACTGTGGCGAGCACCGTTTGGGGCTTAATGGGCCAGATCTGCAGTTGGAGTAAAACTTTGTAGCACCACTTAGTGGCCAATATTAGGCACTATTGGAAGTCGTGACTGAAGGAACTGAGATGTACAGTCAGCTGAAAAAAGGGCTGCTGGGACCTTCAGTATGTAAAATGTGTGTTTTCCAAAGATAGGCTGGTGTTTGATAATGATGATGCAGGGTTATGGTGGAGCTGATTATGCTCTGCAGTTCTGGGAGATATCCCCAAATTAAAACTAAAAATAGCTGTACTTAAAACCAGAGAGAAATTTAACTGCAAAGGAGTGGAGTGTTTATTTTTATATGTTCGTGAATATCTTTATAAAATGGAAGATGCAATAAAATAAGTCTTGTAGTGCACCTGGCTTATGTTCACACCGTTTTTTTTCCCTAGGACCATGAAAGACTGTAATTGGAGTTGTAGTAATTTTCTAGAAGCTTAAGAGCTGGTTTAATTTATTTATTTACCTTTAAAACAGCTAGACCTTTCAAATCATTGCAAATGCTCCTGTAGGGTAATATCGGCTACTGGGCAGAATCAGGTACTGGGGAGAGCATGCCCTGGGGGCTGTTCCCAGTGCTTGTCCTGCCCCAGCTGCAGTTTTCTAAGCCTTGCGGAGAACTTTGTTGTCACTTCTATAAAAGACATTGAGATCATACTGACATACTCTACCCAGAGAAGCTAAGCAATGGTGTCAGTAAGCAGGAAAGGGTTTCGTGGTTGCTTTTGGGTTTGTTTTTTGTTTTTTTAACCTTATTGCTTTGCATTAACGTCAGAAAGGGTTGAAATCAGCATAGCGAGAACCCGGACTACTCAGTAAATGAGAGTGTGTGTATAACCGAGATAAAAAGCGTTTGCTTACTGCATCCTCCCCGGTGTACTCTCCTTTCAACAAGTGTGCTTAAGTCTCAGTAATACTGCTGAGCCAGTCTGTGCAGCTGCTTTGGGACCACTTGGCTTGTGGAGTAGCCGCAGAGGATGAATGAGAATAGCAAACGTGCTCCAGAAGCATCGCATATCCCGTTGTTTCAGAGCCTCACGTGGAGGCTCAGTGTTCCCTTCTGGTGCTTCTCGTGTTGTTCCCCTCAACCTTTGGGGCTGCTGACAGCCATCTCAAGCCTTGTTCTACCTGTTCCCTCCTAGTTTTAATTCTGTCCACCTGTGCACATGCGATTGCCTGTCATCTCAGTTTTCATCTCATCTTCTTTTACTAGGAGGGACTAGAAGTCCTTCCATCTGGACTGCTTTATTTTTTCCCACTAGGTTAACATTACCCCTACTCCGTAACAGTATAAACTTGGTAGTCACGCGGGAGTATCTTGTTAAAGTATTGCTGTTCTGTTCTCCTACTAAGTCTCGTTTTGCATGAATATTCCCCCCCCCTCCATTTTCAATGTATATTCATGTATTCAGAGGCCACATGGATTGTTCCGACTCAAAGCTGTCTATGGATTATATGTGAGGCAATTAAAAAGAAGCCAATTCCTTTCCCACAGAAAAGAGCATTAGCTTTCTGTTTGGTTTGTGTTCCATCTAAAAGTCAAGTACCTGCAGTGCAATTTTACTCTTCCAACCTATGGCTGTTTTACCTGCCTAATCAGTTGGCAGATTAGTTCATAAAGAATCAGAGGAGGACTTCATCACTTTCTCATGAAATATGCAGGACTCTGACAACAAAAAACTTTTATTTAAACAATAGTTGCCCCATTTATGAGTGAGCTTTTGCTTTATATCGCACTATAGCATTTTACGGGCTCTCACAGCATTACTCTCCAGGGACACTTCTTCTAAACTAAAGTGCAATCTGGTAGGATATTAAAAAAACCCCTCTACAACCTGGCAGGTCAAATTAACTATTGAATTATTTATTTTGCTGTGCTTAATTGCTACTTTTTTGCTTCTCAGGTGTTGAAATGTATTAGTGCAGAGCAGAGATTTTTCTATGGACCTGTTCCCCTTAAGGCTTTTGATTGTGTGAGCCAATATTGCTTCTGTGCGAGCTGAAGTGGAGAGGACTAGCTGAAAGGGAGGCCCTTACTATTAATTCTCAAATGGAATTTTAAATTAAAATTATATGGTAATGTATGTGTACAGTTCATATGTAAAATTCTATCTGTCCTGCAGTAGAACCTGTCTGTGTTTAATGGTTATTAATGTCAATAGGAGTCAGCATCTAGAGTCAGCAACCCAGCAGAAGAATCGATAGGTGGGAAAAGCTCCTGTACATTCCTCTCTGAGGGTATATTTCAGCTTGTATAGTTCAGTTTTCCCTTCAGTCCTCCAAAGATTTCAGCATT